CTTCCAGGTAGCATGATTGGCTGGAGTGGCTTAATTTCCTGTAAAGGTTGTTTACCAAATATTCTCCTCAAATCAGTGGCCTTTCTACCACCTTTCAGAGGAATGATATTCTCCTTAGCAGCTTCAAATTCCTCAAAATCAACAATGACCCTTTCCTCTGTTGATGTTGGTTGTTGTGTTGAATCTTGAATTCCACTTTGATTGTTATTATTATGAGTATTAATGGCAATTGGAGATTGGAAACTATTAGAAGGTGAAACACTCAAAGATGGAAAACCCTGATTATTGGAGGAGGTAATAATTGAGGAAGGAGAGCAACTAGTCGATGGTGATGAATACACCGAAAAGGTCATACTATTCACAGTAGGTGAAGAACTCAAACCAAAGGATTGTTGTGGTGAGGATGACAATGAACCAATTTGATTATTATTATTAGTACTTGGAATATCTAGCAAGTTATTCCCATTAGTAGGCATCATGAGCATTTGATTTCCACTACTAAAACCTAATTCATTTGTATTAATTGTATTATTATTAATTGTATTAAAAGATGATGAAGGAAAAACAAGATTAGGCTTTGATAAACTTCTACTCGGACGATTCATCAAGAGACCAGGGGCAGAACTACAACTCGTCAATGATGATCCAACATTGCTAATAGTATTAGTTGGTGATGGATTAACACTGGAGGAGGAAGGCTTTGATAATCTCAAGCCATTGTTGGATGATGGAAACGAGACGGAATTAGTGGGGAGTGTGATGGTGGGAGTTCCTAGGCGTTGAAAGGAGGATGGTCTGATCAGTGATGCTGGAGGCGGTTTATTGTTTGATGAAGCTTGCTGTTGATTGATTGAAGAAGGGAGAGTAGGAGGGAATCGCAAGCGTTGACTTTCAAACATTTTTTTCTGGTGTAACGGTAAAAAATTTAAAAATTGTGTAACGTTCTTGTGAAAGCAAGATGTTGTCTCAAAAGGGCTATTATGAAATTTAATAAGAATTTTGTGAAATCAAACAACGGCCCGCGTAGCAGAGTGGTCAAATGCGTAAGACTTAAGATCTTATCCCGAATGGGTTCGTGGGTTCGAACCCCACCGCTGGCAAATTAATTTTTTTCTGTTACCTAATTGACATAAGGATTTTTATTTCTTTTCAATTAATCTAGTAAACAAGTCACTAATCAATTCTTCATCCTTAGGTACCTCTTTCATTAAAATTTCATGATTTGGATGTTCTTCCCAACTTGGATATGGAGCTTCTTCATAAATTTCACCAAACTTTTCACTCAACTCAGTCTTCAACTCTTCCCAAACTCTTCCTAAATGCATATAAGGTCCAACATAGTGTTTCTTCAAATAAACTCCTTTTGGAATGGTTTTAAGTTGAATAGGAAGAGAATACGAACAAGTTTCGTTCACTTTCTTTATACTTTCTTCAAATTCTTCTCTCTTTGAAGGAAGATTGAATTTTTCAACAGTTTCTGCTGTGAGAAAAACAGCATTCTCCAAATCTACATCTTCCACAGAATCGAAACGATTGTAAAACGTAGCTGGATACATTCTTGATTGTTCACCAACTAATTTCAATGCCATTTCATGAGTTTGTTTAATCCAATTGGTAAATTCAGGAGTAATGACACTAACTGATGTCTGGAGACACTCAGATAG